TTTCTGACTGTCTCCCCGCTCTCGCTATCCATTATCGCTTGTGCTCACTCACCCTGTCTCCGTCCGCTGCCGTCCCTCTGCTCACCCTTTTTGCCAGTCCCCACTGGCACATGCTCCATGGGGTGTGGCACTGACTGCCAGATACCTGCCCCAACACCCATGTCTCCCCTTTCAGCCCCACATGTCTGCATCTGAGAATAAAAGATATTCCCCAGACTTCCCCGTAGTGAGTGTGGCCTTGTGGCTAAATTCTAGCTAGTGGAATGTCAGCAGGGGTGCAGTATGAAATGCGGGGAAAGACTGGTTAAGTAGAACCTCCTGGGGTGGAGGGAAGACTCTCTTGGCCTTCTGTGTTATCCTCCTGTTGTCTGGAACTTGGATGTGATAGCTGGAATTCTTGCAACCATCTTGTCTAAGCCATGAAAACAGGGTTACTTTCTCAGACTATAGTGTGCATGGCAACCCCTTTGCCGTGCACTGGCAGGAGGCAGGAGAAGAAGGGAGCTGGCTCACTTTTTCAGCTCCCTAGCCCTGTAGTTCAAAACCTGGCGCTGCAGGGAGGCCACGCCGTACTTGGTGGCCAGCCTGTGCAGGGGGATGGCCTGGACCAGCAGCACTGTCAGTTCGCCGCAGTACAGGTACCTGCGGGAGAGGTGCGGATACGAGGCGGGGTCAGGGCGGGGCCACTCCGCCCCCCACCCCACGCACACAACACACACGCCCATCTTCACTCTGCTCCGATTTCTGAGTCCAGAGGGGACCCTGCCATAGATGGAGAGCTTCGTGGTCAGGGGCACAAAGGGAGCAGTGGGCCCTGAGGCTTCCTGCCTTTTCCTCTCAAGGACTCTCCCATGCCTGTTCTGCTTCCCAGCCTCCTCGGTGGACACATGGAAATAGCATGTGTTTATTGAGCATCTACTAGGTGCCCAGCTCTATGCCAGAACAAAACAGACATGGCTCCTGCCATTGGGCAGTTAACCACCTGGGTTCAGATCCAAGTCCTGCCACCTACTGGCCCTGAGTGGGCAAATAATTTAACTTCACTCATCACTGAGCCTTATGTTAACCTAGGAAAGCGGGAGCCGCCTCCACCCCCGGGGTTACTGTGGCAATCAGAATGAATGGTACTCGCTACAAAGCAGGCGGTCACACAGGTTACTTCCCACTCCGCCCTCCCCTTTTCTTGCAGCTCATCTTTCTGACTGTCTCCTCGCTCTCGCTATCCATTATCGCTTGTGCTCACTCACCCTGTCTCCGTCCGCTGCCGTCCCTCTGCTCACCCTTTTTGCCAGTCCCCACTGGCACATGCTCCATGGGGTGTGGCACTGACTGCCAGATACCTGCCCCAACACCCCTGTCTCCCCTTTCAGCCCCACATGTCTGCATCTGAGAATACAAGATATTCCCCAGACTTCCCCATAGTGAGTGTGGCCTTGTGATTAAATTCTAGCTAGTGGAATGTCAGCAGGGGCGCAGTATGAAATGGGGGGAAAGACTGGTTAAGTAGAACCTCCTGGGGTGGAGGGAAGACTCTTTTCGCCTTCTGTGTTATCCTGTTGTCTGGAACTTGGATGTGATAGCTGGAATTCTTGCAACCATCTTGTCTAAGCCATGAAAACAGGGTTACTTTCTCAGACTATAGTGTGAATGGCAACCCCTTTGCCGTGCACTGGCAGGAGGCAGGAGAAGAAGGGAGCTGGCTCACTTTTTCAGCTCCCTAGCCCTGTAGTTCAAAACCTGGCCAGACACAAAATCACATGGAGGCTTTTTTTTTAAAAAAATGTGCTGAATCCAACCCCAGACCTAAATCCAAAGATCCAGGGTGGAATCAAGGGATCTGAAGTTTTAAAAAGCTCTCCAGGCCAGGTTTGGAAACAGCTCTGGGGCATTTGGTAACTGACAGCAAACTACAGAGCTTACAGGCAGGGCAGAGGCAGGGGCAGAGAGTCCCACTGCATTTGCAAGTGGGAGACAGGATAGAGGCGGAGGCTGCTTTGTCATCCTAATTGACAAAATGACCTCTAAGGGGCCCGGGGCTTCCGTGAGGCTGTGAATGGAGGAGCCTGGCCCCCCCCAAACCAGTCCTTCCGCTCCCCACCTGATGAACTTGTCAAAGACGGCAGCGCAGTCCCTGGGCTCCTGCAGGACCACCTCGCTCTGATTACTCAGCAGCTCCCGGAACAGCTCGCTGTGCATTCCCAGCAGCAGGCGGTGGGCGTGGAAGACACGGACCTCGTCGGTGCCCGCAGCCTGCACCCGCAGAACCACGTCGCTGGCATTGCCCTGCTTCAGAAGCTCCTGCAGGCGCTGGAGCAGCATCTGGGAGTGGTTGATGGAAGTGCCCACTGCCTCCCCGCCGACATCAGCTCTCTGGGCTGCAGCAGGAGGGAACACAGCACAGCCTGAGAAGGCACCAGGGCCCGGGGCCATGATCTAGGGGTGCAGAGGGACCAAGTGGAGACACCTGTGCCTGGGTGTGGACAGAGGGCGGGTGGGCCTGGGGAGGCTGTGTGCACACCTGTTTGTGCCTATGAAGTATGTGGGTTTCCTGTGTGTGCATGCAAGCACCCCCTTGGGTAGGAAAGTTTGTGAACCTGACGCTGAGCAGACCCAGAGAGGATGCTCTTGGAAAGGAGGTGGATTCCTGGCAGGGAGAAGTCATGAACCAGTGTAGGACAAAATGCCCAGAACTGGTCTCCGTGATGCCAGACCCCCAGACAAAGGTCGAGGAATCTCTTGGTACCCGCCCTTCACTTCCTGAAGGATTGTCCACCTAATCTCTCGGAGGAGTTGTCAGAAGTGGTGTGTTCACCAACAGATATTTATTGAGCACCTACTACGTGCCAGACACTCTCGTAGGAGCTCAGAATATGGCAGCGAACAAAAGAAGTCAGGTCTTTACGCTCAGAAAAGTCACAGTAAGTACAAATAAGCACTCTAGTTTTAGACCGTGATAAATAAGTGGGGGTGAGGCTACTTTGGGTACAGGAACCAGGGATGGGCTCCCTGAGAAATGACCAGAAGGAACTAGCCAGAGGATGAGTGTCCAGGCTGAGAACCAGCCCTGTAAAGGCTGAGGAGGATGGGCTTGGGATGCTGGGAGCAGAGAGGGTTAGGGGGCTGGAGGCTGAGTGTGAGGGGAGGGGCGGAGCGTGAGGCAAGGCTGTTTCCAGGCCCCGCTGCCCTCTTGGATCCCCATCTGTGAGTGCACTCTCAGCGTGGGGCCTGTGGGGCACCAAGAAAGTACAGGGGCCCAGCGGGAATGGGATTCTCGTGGTACCTGCATGTCGAGGATGGCATTACCCTCCAGGCTGGCCACGCTGGACCTGCCACGTTTCCAGGGATGCCATGAGGGTCAGATGGGGACATGCACTCAGTTACAGAAAACTTCGGTGACAGAAAACACTGCCAGCAGCTTCCCCAACTGGAGAATGGAGTGAAAGGCCTCACAGAGAGGCAAGGAGGGCATGGGACAGCAGTAGATGAGGACCCACTGCCCTGCGCTCACATGCACACACACGCATGCATGCACATGCTCACACACATGCACACACACGCATGCATGCACATGTTCACACACACATACACACACGCACACATGCACATGCTCACACGCACACACACGCACACACGCATGCACGTGCTCACACGCACACATGCACACATGCACATGCTCACATGCACACATGCACACACACATGCATGCACATGCTCACACGCACATACACACATGCACAAGCTCACACGCACACATGCACACACGCATGCATGCACATGCTCACACACACACGCACACATGCACATGCTCACACACGCACGTGCACACACATGCATGTACGTGCTCACGCGCACACATGCACACACGCACACATGCACATGCTCACACACGCACGTGCACACACACATGCGTGCACATGCTCACACACACACATGCACATGCTCACATGCACACGTGCACATGCACGCACGTCCGCACACACACACACACTGCGGCCTGTGGGGGCTACTAGAGAGAAGGCTCATGGAGGAGCAGAGCATCGGGGTGTGAGAGAAGGAGACAGGAGAAAGGGAGGGTGAGAGCAGTGAGTGATTAATTTCCCAGCCCCACCTCCCCAACCTGAATCTTGATAGAGTCCCATCAGCCTCTGCCTGGAGTCAGCCGCCTGAGACAAAGGACAGTGGAAGGGTCTTCTTGTGGTTAGAACCCTGCTTGGTGGCCCAGCCCCTCCTCCGGTCTGAGACAGGTTGCCGTCCTCCCAGAAGGAATAGACTACTAGCCTGGCTGGCTGGACACCGCCCCCTCCTGGCCTGTGCAGGTAGGGCCAGAAGTTCCTGCCCTTCCTCCCTGTCCCTCACTCCCACCCCGCCCACTGCCCACTCACCTGCACGAGAAGCCAGGCCCACCAAGGTCAGGATGGCCCAGAAGCTGCCCCAGGACCCAGGCTTGGCACAGCCCAGCCTAAGCATCTTTGTGCCCCGTCCCTGTGTCCACTGGAGGGACAGTGAAGCCGAGACCACACTGCTCACATCTCTTCTCCTTATATAGGATCCAGCACAAGGGGCCAGCACCCTCCTTCCTGGCCAGCCTCCCTCCCCCAATCCAGCCTCTGCCATGGATTGGTGGAAACTGGCCCCAGCTGTTGCCCAGGCAACCTCTTAAGCCAGAGAGTGGCAGCCCCAGGGGCTATTGTGCTGCCTGCGGCCCCTGAGGGGGACAGATCCGGCACCCTCCCCCACATCTCTACCACCCAGCAGAGCTAGTCGTTCCTTTCCTGGGAAGTTTTCTGTTCTCCAAAGGGCAGGCAAGAGGCTCCAGGACAGCTGGCAGCCCTGGCCCAGAGGGTCCCCAGCCCCCCGCCCTGGCACAGAGCACGCTTGGCAGCATCTTGGCTGGAGTCCCATGGTGAGCAGGCTGCAAGGGAAGGGCCTGGAAAAGGAGAGGGACAAGGCGGCTCAGGCTCCCACCCCTCCCCCTCTCCTATTTTGGGGTGGGCTAGCTCTCCAGACAGGAGGGCATGGGTCTCAAATAGGGGCCCGCCCATGGGTAACTGGTATCCATGTTCTTTGTTGAAGAATGTTTCTGGCATGCTCTAGGGAGGGTGATGGGCTGTGACTGTCACCCCCAAGGGTCAAGGTGAGCCATGATGGCAAGGCAGAGCATACGGTAGAGGCACCCCAGCACATGTACCACTGTGGGAGGTGCACCTCGGCAGGGCTGGCCACCTCGCAAGACGCTGGCCCTTGGCAGGCAGCCCACCGCTTGCCCAGCCAGCCCACGCCTTGGCACGGGGGCTGGAGACGCTGAAGTGGGCACCTGTGTGCCTGTCTGCCTCTGCCCCTCCTTTCTTTAACTCAACTCCTCAAGTGGCTTCTGGTCCCTGGGAAGGAAGCCCCTCCTTGTGAGGCTTCTTGTATCGGCTTCTGTCCAGCCTCCAACTACAATTTTCCCCCAGTAGAGGCTCCACCTCCTACGATGTCTAACTTCCGTTATCCCAGCGTTCCAAGGAGACACGCAGCAGACCTGGCACCCCACCCCGACCGAAGGAGAAACTGAGGCAGAGAGCTAGGCCGCAGTCTCCATTGGGTTAGTGCGGAGAAGTGACGTACAGAACTCGAAGGGAGAGAGGAGGGTGGGGGGCGTGTGTGGGTGCTGTCGAGGCCTCACCTTTTTCAGGGAGTAAGTAGAGTCTGACTCAGTCTTCGTGGGAGAGACTCCTTTGAGGCTGATGAACAAAAGTGGGGGATCCCGAGAGGCCAGGTTCCTGACCGGAAATGGGTCGGAACCTGCCCTGCTTTGCTGTCTGGATCCCAGGGACCAGCTCAATGCATTGATTTCTGTCCCCGGCTGCCACAGAGAGACCTGACAGCTCCACCCCCTCTCTGGAGCCACAGACAGAGCAGGAATTGGGTCTGGCACCTGCCTCGTCCGGGTTGGCAGAGATGGAGCTGTCCGGCCCCGCGGAAAGCCCTCTCGGCTGCCCTGACCTTCATGCCTGGTTCCCGTCGTCCGGATCCACCATCCTTGCCCGCTGGCTGCCTGCCTGCCCTTCCCGTGGGCTGCACCACCTCCCTAACCCAGCTTGGTGAGACAGAGCCTGAGCGTCACCGGGGTACGGGCCTCTGAGGGCATCCTCTTCCATGCACAATACGTTCCAATAGGAATGTAATTGAAGAACGGTAAGAGAACACACAACTCAGAAAACGGTATTTCAGTAAACACGCTTCTTAACTCCGGCCTCCTTGAGGCTCTGCATCAATCTGTCTAGAAGTGTAGCCCACCTGTACCGGTATTTTCGAAGCATCCTGGACGATTGTTATGTACACCCCAAGCTAAGATCTACCTACTAGGGCTAGATGGATGGCAACGCAAGGGATCAGGGAGGCCCCAGATTACTGAGAAGACTCAGGAGGGTCCCCTCTGACTCCCCACCTCTGAGAGGGCCCACTTCCTACTATTTCTAACTTCTGTTATTCCTGAAACTCCTCTAATAATTTAGAAACTGGCTTTCCAGGAATAGGCATTCTCTGTTCTCTTTTTCTTAGTCTGAGGGTTGCTGGAGCGTGTGCATGCATACGTGTGTGTGTATGTGCGTGTACACGCGTACACATGGACCTGAGCATCTCAGAGTGGGAGAGAGGAAGGAGGGCGTTTGCCCTGCCCAGTCTTGGAGACAGAGGATCTGAGACACTCCACCTTATTGTTCCCTGGGGATCTGGAAGCTCCGTAATTCCTTGAGAGTAAGTCTGATGAGCACAGCGCACGAACTAGAACAATTCTCAGAGAAGAGTGTGACTTCCTGCCAGCCGATAGCGTTTATGACCCTAGTGACGGTCTCATGGCCAGGACCAAGCAGAGCCAGGACTCCGGTGCCACTTTTCTGCTCAGCTTTTCTTTCCACAGACCCGTGCTGTCTCTTCGGGGAAGCTTATATCAGGAGCCATAAGTGACGCCAGTGGGCAAGGACCCTCTAAGGCTGTAAAAGCAATGGAGACCTCTCGCTAGCTTGGGGCAGGGTGGAGAGTTTCTGAACCTGCAGAGTGGGTGATCAGATGCGGGAGTGTGACAATACCCACGTATTATCAGGGTGGGCCCCAGACCCGGGCCTGCCCTTACCCCTTCCTGAGCTGGGGTGCCCTCAGACACTTAGCTCAAGGAATAAGGAGTTGTTAGTTTATTCCAAGCCCCAGGTCCTCAGGGTGGGACACACTTAATAAACAA